TCATGGCCATCCCGGGGTTGCATAGGGAATTTGAAGCCAACCTGGGCTACATGAGACCCAAGCCCTGACCCTGAGAAAGAAAAACAAAACAAAACAAAAAACCCTGAAAAATAACAATGTATCCTTAATGACAGTGAAATTTATCACAGTCAGAAGCCTACCTAGAAGCTCTTGAAAGACACAGATCTGAACAAAACAGAACAGAACTGTATACCCTGTCTAAAAGGTCACATTATTTGTGTGACCTATAAATCCAACTTCCATAGTTGATGACTCAATTATACTTGTGTAAAATGTAAAATTCAGGCTAGAGATATGGTTCAGCAGGTAGTATTAGTCTTGTGCACAAAAGGCCCAGGGTTCAATCCAAACTACAGCACAACTGGCATGGTGGTACATGCATATAATCCCAGCATTTGGCAAGTAGAGTGGCAGAAGGATCAGAAAAGCCCAATGTTAAGACTCAGCTAGTAAGTTTGAGGCCAGCCTGGGCTACTCACAAACAATAGGTAAAACTGCCAGTAGAAAAAAGGATCTTGACAGGTTCAGGAGCAACATCAGACAGTAAGATGGTTAGGCACATAAAGACACTGTTATGTAAGCCTGATTACCCCAGTCCAACCCCAAAAGTCCTCAGGAAGGTGGAAGGACATAAATATAAATGACTCTAATAAACTGACCTTATTGTGACCTGTGCACACACACACACACACCAATAAGTAACTTAAAAAAAAAAAGTGTAAGAGATGGTAGTAAGAACATAAGTACTCTTGCAGAGGCCCCAAATTTGGCTCCCAGCACTCATGTGAGGCAGCTCATAACTGTCTTTAACTCCAACTTTAAAGGATGTGATGCCCTCTTCTGGCTTCCACAGGCACTGCACTCACAAGCACAAACCCCTCTGATAGTCACATATATACAACATTTTAAAAAAATAAAAATTGGCAGGGTGTTGGTGGCACTCGCCTTTAGTCCCAGCACTGGGGAGACAGAGGCAGATGGATCTCTGTGACTTCTAGGCCAGCCTGGTCTACAGAGCTAGTTCCAAGAGAGACTCCAAAACAATAGAGAACCCTATCTCAAAAAACCAATAATTAATTAATTAATTAATTAATTAATTAATTAATTAATAGGATGATGGGTGGTGGTAGTGGTGCATGCCTTTATTTCCAACACTCAGGAGGCAGAGGCAGGTGGATCGCTGGGAATTTGAGGCCAGCCTGGTCTACAGAGCGAGTTCCAGGACAGGCTCCGAAGTTATACAGCGAAACCCTGTCTCTAAAAACCAAAATAATAGTTATCATAATAATAAATAAATTAGAAAAATCAATCTAAATTCAAGCCTTATGATGTAACGTAAGTATTAACCAAGTTACTGAACGGTCTATGCCACAATTATTTCATTTAAAAACGGGAATAATACCAGCTATTCCATAAGGATTATTGTGAAGGCTAAGATAAAATACACAAAACCTAAAGAATAGTGCTTTTTTTTCCTCATTTATCAACATTTTTTCAATTTTATTTGTGCATTTGTGTGTGGGAGCACACATGTGGTCAGAGGAAAACCTATGGAAGTCAGTTTTCTCCTAGCATATGGGTCCTGGGAATCAAACTTGGTCATCAGGCAAACTTGGCAGAAAGTTACTTTTCTAGCTGAAACATCTTACTGGGACAGGGTCTCACATAACCCAGGCTGGCTTCAAACTGGCTTATATAGCCAAAGATAATACTGAAGTCCTAATTTTTCCTACCTCTAACTTTAAAGCTCTGGGATTACAAGAGCACACCATCAGAACTGGCTGTTTTGCTTCTTTTTAAAGACAAGGTATTGTTATATGTACCTGGGTTAATCTCAAACTCACAATCTCCCTACCTCTGCCTCCCAAGTGGTAGACATATAAATTTGCACTACTATGTTCAACTACTGAAAAACTTCAAAGAAGGCTACATTTAACTTGTGAGTAATCTAAACTTGAAACATATTTCAGATACAACACTCACAGAGCATCTTACCCTCTTCAATGGCTTTAAACCAAAGGACATTATTGACAATCAATGTTCTTTTCTTTTTCTAAAACAACCAGAGATAAATATATTGACTATCCTCATTTGATTGTTTTAATTATTATATTACTACCATAGTACTAAGGATCAAATCCAGGGCAAATACTCTACCACTAAAGATTATTACACCCTCAGCCCTTAAGGGTTTTGTTTTGTTTTTATTTTTTTTTGAAACATGGGTTTCTCTGTGTAGCCCTGGCTGTCCTGGAACTCACTCTGTAGACTAGGTTTGCCTCAAACAAGACCAGCCTGCCTCTGCCCTAAGTATTTTTAAAGGAATTTTAAAAAAAGAAATATAATAATTTACTGGGAATGTAACTCTCCAGTTGAGAACCTGCTATGCATACACACAAATATAAACAGACAGACAGATAGATGTTAGAAAGAATATAATTTTTTAAAAAGTATTCAGGGAGGCAAAGGAAGGTGAATCTCTGTGAGTTTGAGGCCTGCCTGGTCTACAGAGCTAGTTCTAGGACAGCTAAAGCTACAGAGAGAAACCCTTCTAGGAAAGAAAAAACAAAAAAGAAAAAAAAAACTCCCTTTCTGAATTGGTTATTTAACTCAGTGGGTAAAGTGTTTGCCTACTACTATGCACCAATCCTGAGTGTGGAGGAGCACACCTGTGAGCCCAGCAACTGCTGAGGCAGGGAAATCACAAGCCAAGGTCATCCAGGGCAGATTTAAGGCTATGTGGGATACATGACAGACACATGGCCTCAAAACAAACAAACAAAAATCCACCTTCAATATTCTCTTTATGCGAAATACTAGAACATTCAAAATTCTAAGTGGATTATGTCAGAGCAAGTGCAGAAAATACAGTTTAAAATGTATGTGGTAACGTCAGGAAGCTTCAAAGCATCTAGTTTTGGTTTTTAAAAGTATTTATTGTATTAACTTCATGGGGGTGGTCAGAGAACAACTCTCAGGAACTGATTTGGTTCTTTCCTTCCACTTCTAGATCCCAAGAATCTAACTCAGGTCGTGAGACTTGATGGCAAATGCCTTAAATTCCTGAACCATCACCATAGCTGCTCTTTTTTAAATTTTTCATTTCTTCTTCTTCCTCCTCTTCCTTTTTCAAAACCACCTAATATCAGATGTTTTGTGAGTTTTAAATTAAGATTTTCTAATTTATTATCTTGTATGTATGTTATGTGAGGGGATGCACACGTGGGGGTCAGAAGACATCTTCCTGTAGTCAGTCTCTACTTCCACCTTCCAGGTATCAAACTGAGGTAGTCAGGCCTGTGGGGCAAGGGTTTTTAGCCCACTGAGACATCTCATTGGCCCATGAAATCAACTAAAGCATCAAAATGTGTTCCTATGAGTTTCTAAGTGACAGCACTCACATTCTGATACCCCGTTTTCAAAATCTTCATTCAAAATCCTCCTTGAGCCTGCTGAAATAGTTGAGGGCCATTTTTCCTCAAAACTTAACTCTCCTTCCACACTGTCTGATTTCAATTTTATTAGGTCACCTTGAAATTGTCAGTTCTGAAAAGCATTCAAAGGCTTTCATCATCGGTATGTATGTCTCCTTAAATAATTTTAAGTTAAAAATTAATAAAGCTCATGCACTTCGCACATGCTTTATAGGGCTTGCTATTTAAATCACAAACAAAAAAACACCTTCTCGGGTATCAAACATACAAACTGAACTGCCTCAAACTTCTGTGAACCTGCGACACATTCTTAAGACACCTTGAGATTCTGCTGCAGCCTATACCGTAGGCACATGACCACAAGGGTTTTTCAGCAACCCCCAAATTCCTTACTGCTGCAAAACTTCTCATAGCGTTCTACGCACAAGACTGTTAAGCAGTGTTCATTTTAAAAATTGCTAAACTGTTTTGTCTATTCACCAACCCAATCATCTCCAAGAATTCAAATCCTTCAAATTGCTTTCTGACACACAGCTTCAGTAGTCCCGTGTTGCTTTGAGTAAGCTCAAAGGAATAAAAACTTGAGTTCTGAGACTCATCCCTTGACCCAAATTGCTGTTGCCAGGAGATGCGGTAGTAATGCAGTGATTTGCAACTCTAAGGATGTATTTTATGTAGAAATTGCCAAAGGCTACTAAATCCTTTATAGTTCCAATTATTTCTGCAGTGACAATTTCAACAGCTAAAAGACGAATTACTCTAATTCGGCCTTTGTTCCCCCCCCCCCCAAATGCTTGCCATTGTAAGGACATCCTTTCCAGATCAACATTTGCAAATGAAGAAAGAAAAAAAATGAAGGTTTAGGCACGAGCTATCTCACGCCTGGAAAGGCCATTATATTCCTTACAAATCTTGGTAGGATTCGAAGTTAAGTTTACACCAGTCCATAGTCCTAACACCTTACTGTTTCTCAAGCCCAATTAACGGCCTGAAAACAACAGCAGTATTTATGCCCAAAGAAAGCTCAATGCTCGCCTAAACAAAAAGGCGTCTGATAAGAAAAGGTACCCTTTTCCAGGGCGAGGACAAGGTTACAGAAATGATAAAGGGTTTGTTTATCACAATGAGGAAAGGGGAGAAAAGATTCTCAATATGATCGGGGCGAGCAAAACCCAAGGGTTCGGAAGCCCCGGCCTGAAAACCTCTGGCCCCAAGCCCTCCCAACCCCAGCCCAGTCCTGAGGGCCAGCCCCGAGCCTGCACAGGCCCCCGGGGCAACCATGGCACAGCCCCAACAAAGCAGCCCGCTGGGGAGCCAGGAGCCAAATAGGAGGAGCCCCGCGTTCGAGGGGCGAAGAGAAGGGGATGAAGCCGGAGACGCGGCCTCATCGCAGGCTGGGAGGCCCCTAGAGAAATGAGGGGCAGGAGAGCGAGCCGCTTTGCAAGGCGAGGCAGAGCGCCGGACAGAGAGCCGAGAGGCCGGGAAGCAGGAGGCCCCGGCCTCGCTGCGAGCCCTCCGGGGGTCCCCGGAGACGCCCGTGTTTACCTGAAAGTCTCTGTCCTCGTTGAAGCGGGAGAAGCGGTCCGCCATTTTGCCGCCTTCACTCCTCCTCAGGACGACGCTCTCCGGTTCGCTCCTTCCCTCCCGCGACGCCCGCCCCCTCCCTGCTTCCACGCCTCCTCCCACGCCCACCGGGCGCGCGCAGCTGGCTGCGGGGGGAGGTTAGGAGGGAGGGAGGGAGGGAGGGAGCAAGAATGCGTCCCGACGGGAATTCCGAAGGCGCAGGCGCTTCGCGGGTCCGGAGGCGGAACCTTCGCGCGTCGCCCCGTTTCGCGCACGGCCCGGAGCGACCCTAGCGGGCCGCGCATGCGCTTTTGCTCCAGAGCGCCACAAGCGCTTCCGGAGGGAAAGATCAGCAGGGCAGGGCTTGTGGGCTTTGGGGAGAGTCCACTTGCTCACGTAGTGCTCTTGTTTACGATCGAGCCCATTCCTGTGTTTGCCAAATAATAGTATACCGTATACAGTAGCATGAGATATGATTTTAAAGCCAGAGTACTTTTAAGTGTTTTTGTTGGTTTTGGATAGGGTTTCTTGTAGCCCAGGCTGGACTCCTGCTCTCTATGTAGCCGAGGCTCGCCTCCCAAATCCAAGGAGAGTATTTTTTTAAATTGACACATAATAGAATTACTTGAGAAGAAGAGGGAAAAAAATCTCTCTTCTCATAAGGCTTCCATTCCAGGTGAGAAGACAGAAGTCAGATAACCAGTAAAATGACTTAATAGTTGTAATTATTAGCAAGTGTCAAAGACTAAAACTAGCCTTGATTGAGGCTGAGGGAGAAGAACCAGGAGTTCAGACTCATCCTTGGCTACATAGGGAGTTCAAAGCCAGCTTGGGCTACACAAGACCTTGCCTCAGCAAAATCCAGTGAAAATGCGGGGGGGGGGGGGGGTAATGGAAAGGGCAAGCTATCTCAAAGCTACCTATAAGTCAAAGCGTAACAGGGATCCACAATCTTGCAGAAAAGAGAACACATCTCTGCAAAGAGCTTGACTCTTTTTTTCTTATTTTTTTTTCTCCATATACATTTGAGGCTCATGTATGAGTTGTTACATGCCCTGAGACTAGAATTGTAGACAGTTAGGAACCACCATGTGGGTGCTGGGAATGAACCCAGGTAATCTGCAAGAGGAGAAGCGCTTTTACCTGCTTAGCCACCGCTCCAGCTCCAGTTTTCTTAATGTTTTTATTGGGAGGGGCTTATTTAGTTTTATTAGACTTACTCATTTTACTTTCTGTGTGACTGTTTTGTCTGAAAGTATATGTGTGCCTTGTATATGCTTGGTGTCTAAGGAAGTCAACAGAGGGCATCAGATTCCCTGGCACTGGAATTACAGGCAGTTGTGAACGACCATATGGGTGCTGTGAATTGAAACCTAGTCTTTTGTAAAAGCAAGTGCTCTTAACAGCTGAGCCATCTCTCCAGTCTTCCCGCCATCTTATTTTTTAACACAGGGTCTCTCATTAATCCTGGAGCTCTCCCTGGTCTGGCTAGCAGGCCTCAAGGGCCTGAACCTGGCACCAGGGAAGGTGCAGGTGTGGGCAGAGCTGAACACACAAGGACTAGTTACAAGCCATTCTAGGGAGCAGTTGGATACTAAAGCATTTTCCCCATTCAGACAGCAGCTGGAGGCTTTCTCTAGAAATGCTAACCAAACTGATACTGGACCTTAACATGCCAGCATAACCAAGAAGGAAATGAGAGGATCTTGGTAAAAAAAAAAAAAAAAACTGCTGTGAAGTGACACCACGACCAAGGCAACTTTTAGAAAGCATTTAATTGAGGGGGTTTATGTACAGTTTCAAAAGTTTAGTTCATTATCATCAGGGCAGGGAGCATGACAGTATACAGGTAGGTATTGGAGCAGAAGCTGAGCACTGTATCCCGATAGAGAGAGAGAGAGAGAGAGAGAGAGAGAGAGAGAGAGAGAGAGGTTGAGAGTGACACTGGGCCTGGTCATGGCATAGGCTTTTGAAACCTCAAAGCCACCCCCAGTGACACACTCCCTCTGACAAGGCCACACCTCCTGATCCTTTCAAACAGCTCCACTGGATGAAAACCAAGCATTCAAATATATGAGCCTATGGGGACCATTTTATTCAAACCACGGCACCAATATTCTCGTCAGAGAGTCAGATACCACCCCCAGCAAACCATTCTAAGTCCTCTCCCTGAGAAACTGACTTACAGAAGCAAGGTCTCCATGGGATAGAGAGGGTATCACCCCCAACATAATGATCATGTCCTGCCCAACTACCCCATAGAAAAGCCCACCATTCTGGAAACCTCATTCACAATGAATATTTGAAGACTAAGCAAGAAGTCTTGGAGGCTGGAGAGATGGCTCACCAGTTAAGAACACTTACTGATCTTGCTGAGGAAGACAGGTTTGGTTCCTAGCACTCCCATGGCATTTCAGCACTCACATGGCCTGTAATTCTGGTTCCAGGGCATTTGATGCCCTCTTCTGGCCTCCATAGGCACTGCAGGCATGTGGTACACATTGTATAACATTATTCCTCAAGAGACACAAATATATTCCCTCAGATAAGGAACTGAAACAGACTAAAGTACAGATACCTCCAAAGTCCAACTTAGTGAACAAATGATTTTTATTGGAGTTACTACAGAAATATGGGTGACAGGTTACTTATAGAAGAAGAAATGACTCAAAGGGAGCTGCAACATCAAAGTCCACCCCAGTATGGGTGACAGCTCACAAAAACTGAGGGCCTGGAGGACATTGCACAACTTGCTCCCAGCTCAGCTGGTTCCTGCTCATCTGGTTCCTGCTTCTTCCAAGTGGTTTACCTAAGACTATTTTAGGTAGCCGATCCAGTCTTATCAGCTTCAGGAACTTCCTGAAGCTTTTGAGTTGTTTGCTCCCTGAGCCGACCAAGTTTCCCTGCAGGACTGAAGGTTTTACCTTAGAGGAAATTGCTACCCAACAGCGCTCAGATATACATACATGCTAATACTCGTAACATAAAATAAACATAAGCTGGGCAGTGGTGGCACATGCTTTTAATCCCAACATTCAGGAGGCAGAGTCAGGTGGATTTCTATGAGTTCAAGGCCAACCTAGTTTACAGAGCTAGTTCCAGGACAGCTAGGACTGTTACACAGAGAAAACCTGTCTCCAAAAAAAAACAAAAAACAAAAAACCAAAAAAAAGAAGGAGAAAGAAAGAAAAGAAAAACAATAAATTAAAAGTAAATGACTTGATGAGGGGGGCTGACTCTTGAAAATTAAAACATTTTATTCTGTTGACTTTGGTTATCTTTCCTGATGTTAATGTTTTGTTTTGTAATAGGGTCTCCTGTAGCATAGTTTGATGTCAAATTCACTATGTAGATGAGGATGACCTTGAATTCCTGGTCCCCTTGCTCAAGGCATGCACCACCATGCCTGTCCTGACAATGACATTTTATTTTAAAAATTTATCTAGTTTTATTTTATGTGTGTGGGTGTTTTGCCTGCATGTATGTCTCTATATCATGTTCAAGCCTAGTGCCAGAGGAGGCCAGATGAGGGCATCAGATACCCTGAAACTGGATCTGCAGACAGATGTGATCCTATGTGGGGGCTAGGAACTGAACCTGGAATCCTCTGCAAGAGGAAAGAGCCAGTGCTCTTAATTGATTGAGATGGGGTTTCATGTATCCCAGGCTAGCCTCCAACTCATTATGTAGTGAGTTTGTGCTGAACCTCTGACCTTCTTGCCCTAGATCTGGGAGTATAGGCATGCTCTACCACACTTGTTTTTCGTGGAATCAAACCCAAGCTTTCATGATGCTGGAAAGCACTCTACTGATTGAGCTACATACCAAGCCCTCAATCTCCTTTCACTTGATGTTTTTTGTCATTCACTGATGCTCCTTGTATGAATCATTTCCTATAAACAATGCTTATAAAATGAGTCTCAGCCAGTAGGAAGGCAAGACAGGATGATTACAGTGTTAGACTAGTTAACTATGTAAAGATGTGTTACATTTGTTTGTGCTGCAGATTATTACTTTAACTATGTGAAAGTGTGTTACATTTGTTTCTGCTGCCTTTGTTAATGTTGTAAAGACGTGTTGCATTTGTTTGTGTTGCAGAATAACTATTTAACTGTGTAAAGATGTGTTGCATTTGTTTAACTATGTAAAGCTGAGTTGCTGTTTCACCTTGACTGCCTAAGGCACCTGAGTAGCCTAATGAAAAGCCAAATAGCCAATAACTAGGCAGGAGGGTGATAGGTGGGGCTGGTGGTCAGAGACAATAAGTAGGAGTAGAGAACAAGGAAGAAACAGAGGGAGATGCCCAGGTCCAGAAGTCAGACAACCACCGGCCAGCCAGACACAAGAAGCATGAAAGTAGGTTATACATAAAGAAAGGTAAAAAGCCCCGAGGCAAAATGTAGGTAAATAGAAACAGATTAAAAATAAGAGCTAAGATAAGGACAAGCATTTATAACTAATAAGAAGTCTCCATGTCATGATTTGGGAGCTGGTTTGTGGCCCAAAAGAAAAAACCTGGTACATTACAGCAAGTCAGAGGCTAGGCTGGGCTACATAATGAGTTTCAGACAAGCCTCAGAAGCATAGTGAGACCTTGTCTCAATCAGCAAGTAAATAGATTCTGTGATTCTACCATTTCTACATGTATTAGTAGGAACTCTTTCAGGCTACCACTGTGGCACTGCCTACTCCTAGCTGCTGGTATTCAGTACTCTTTGGGTTGACTTTGCAACACTGTGGGCTTTTGTTTTTTTGAGACAAGAGTCTCATTATGTAACGCAGACTGGCCTTGTACTCTCTATTAACCCCCATCTGACCTCAAATTCCTCAGCTTCCCCAAAGCAAGAATCACAAACATGCATCACCAGGCCCACTTACTGTATCGTTTTTTTGTTTGGTTGATTTTTGTTCTTTTCTTTGAAACAGGACCTCACTGTGTAGCCTTGACTCTCCTGGAACCCACTACATAGACCAAGCTGGCATCAAACTCACAGAGATCTCCTGCTTCTGCCTCCTAAGCATGGGGATTAAGACACCATCATTATTCATTGTGATACTCAGATTGCCCCATACTTGACCAGGACAACTGTTAAACATTTTTAAATGGCATACCTAGTTATTACTGTAATTGAAAACTGTTTGGTCCTTTTTTTTTTTTTTTTTTTTTTTTTTTTTTTTGCTTTTGTTTTGAGATGGGGTCTGGAGTAGTCTAGGCTGACCTACA